TTTTTGATATGTAACAGTATGTTTTAAAAGTATTTTTTTAATTTAAAATTTATTGAGAATCTTTTGTGAAAATAATTTTTAAACTAAAGTGAATTTGATTTCCTACACACCAAGGCTCTGACCACTAAGCTAGACAGGCAATATGTAAAAGTTAGAAAATTAATTTCACTTTAATCTTTATATATAATTGAATATTAACCTTTCAAAAAATGTTTTATAAAAATTGGTCTTTTGTGAAGTTAAATAAATTAGAAATTAGATTGGAGTTAGTTATTTTTTCTTGGGACATATTATAAATTATAACTGAATTAAATTTACCAACATTTGTCAAGCCTTAACGATTACCTGTTGTACAAATTAAATATGTAGAAAGGATAGAAAAGGAATGGCATCTAATAAATTCCTATTTTTTAAGAAAGCGCTCTTGGAACTAAGATCAACGCTCAAACTAATAGGCACTCGGAATATGTCAAAAGTGTGAAATTTATGTGTGAATTGTTAATGCTCAGAGTCTTTACACCATATTTACACAGTGAATTCTTATTTCAATTCTCCAGTCTTTATCAAAAAGAAAAAAAGGCATTAAAAGTTTTACATTCGATGACTGAATCGATTATTCAGCAGAGGACAGATGACTTAAAAACAAAAAGCCCACTGGTCAATGATGAAGATGGTATCGGAATCAAAAAGAAGTTGGCATTCTTAGATTTACTTTTGAAGTCAAAACTGGAAGGAAGCAATCTTTCAGACAGGGAAATACGAGAAGAGGTGGACACATTTATGTTTGAGGTAAGTAGTCAAAGGCAATTTTTACAGAAATACTAGCTTTTTAGTAGGTAACTATTTTTTTTTTGTAAAAGTTAAACGCAATTTGGCTTTGTCCACTTGGTCAAATATGTTTCACTATGATCGTTATTGGAAACAATCACGGAAGAAATGTTAACTGTAATTCTGTAAGGCCCCTTGCACACGAATGGTCAATCCGTCGACCGGCTGTTTCACCTATCAGTAAAAAAAAACCGAAGCTATCATAAACACGGCATCAGAGAGATTTCATTTCTGATCGAGACTAGTAGTGTCGTAACTATCATATGATCTATCGTATATGGAGCTTCCCTACAGATATGAGATTTCGTGGGTTTTAAAGAATTATATACTTACGTAAAGAAAATTGCATTGTGTATTTTGTGAATAAGGAAAAGATAGATGAAAAAACATTAATAAGGAAATTATGGATTCCTCTACCGATATCAGTAACGAGTACAGGTCGGATGAACGCGCAGATACTTGCCCTGTATGGCCTATTAGGGTAAATTACTAGGAACCGATACACAAATAAGTTTTCCATAGGCGTAAATTATTATCTTAATACAGATAGGACAGTAGCGTACTAGGAAATAATATAGAAACATCATCATCATCATAAGGTCGTCATCATGGATACGCACCTCCACTCTTTCTTATCCTCAGCTAATCTTCGCATTTGATTAAAATTAGAACAACCCATACCCTTAACTATTTACGAACAGTAATGTAATCTAGGTCTACCTTTACCCCTCCTAACTACAGTTTCTGCCTTTAATATGTCTCTGACTAGACCTTTATATCTGAGAAGGTGCCCTACCAACCTATCTCCCCTATTTATTATTGACTTCCATAGAGTCCTGTGTTCTCCTATTCTTTCTAATACCTCTTCATTCGCCTGTGACACATTTCGAACGCTTCTAACCTTTTCCACCGCGCCCACTGTCCATAACATATCTTACCAAAAGTGTTGGTATTCACATTCACTGTCCTCATCGAAATCGATATCACTGTCACCGACATCAACAATTAGTTCTTCTGTTTGTATACCTATTACTTGCTCATTATCTAACATAACATTTAAATAAATCACGTTAAACTCAATTACTGCGTTCATTTCTTTTTTATATAAATTTTAAATATCTACAACAAGAAAAGCAACCGAATAAGTTAATTTTTTTAATTTAATTTTATAAGCTGATCCCTGCTTTTAAATATCTAATCTACGCCCTTGATAGGAACACTGAAGAAAGAGGGCTGCAATTGTTATAACAAAAACTGCCTACTTTTGCCACCACGCATCCACATCAATTTAAAATTTCCGCCAGTTTCGAGCGTAAGGACTGTACAATAGGAGTATTTTATTTGGGGTACTAAGATCGCATGAAGTAAAAAGTATTACAAATTTAAGGTACAAAGATAGAGAGATTCATTACAAAAATAATACCTAATGAAAAATGTTTCCCTTACTCATTACAAAATAATAGCTAATCAAAAATATTTTTCCTCCTAATTATGAATACAATGGGTAATGAAACGTAAATGTATTATGTAGTTGCAAACTTGAAGACCATTATAAGGAACAATAATCACTGTTCTAATTTGACGTAGCTCTCAATTAAAATATTTGGGGTAAAATATCGTAGCTTAAATGGCTATCAGTTTGGATTTTCCTTAGTTTCTATTTGTGCAATAAAAGGATAGGCGTCTTCCTTTAAAATAAATAAATTGCGCTTACAGTAACCTCGAATGAAGTTACGAAAATTAATGCCAAGCTTACTGCGACTTTTGGTATGACATACAAAACTCTGCCAATATAATGTATACTAAGCAAATACTCGAATTTTTCCAATACTGAATCAACGATAAGCAGAAAGCAATTTATAATATTGAAAATTACTTTCAAATTACCTCTTTTTGGTTCCTTCTGTTTCATGGACCCAAAAGATATGTTAAATTGAGATCTTGTTCTATCCGAAAAATGGTTTCGACACTTAGTTTTTTTAAATACACAACTATTTATTATTATATTGATCAATTTCAGGGTCACGATACAGTATCATCGGCTATAAGTTTCACTATACATTGCCTTTCGAAAAATCCTCACGTCCAGGAAAAAATTTTGGAAGAAATACGATCAATTTGTGGTTTCGACAGAAACTATTCGTTTAGTTATACCGATTTGCAAAATATGAAATACCTCGAAGCGACCATTAAAGAAGGTTTACGTTTATATCCTTCGGTTCCCATATACGGTAGAACGTTTGCCGAAGATATCGAGTTTGGTAAGTTATTAGGCAAATTTTTTTTAGACAATAAAATCGATTTTTTAAATCACCAATAAATCGTTACAAATTGTGCCCCATTTTCGCGCTTCTGCCTCTGAAAAATTTGATTATAATAAGAGGAGAAGTTGTACCGTGGGGCTACCATGTGAAAAATTCATTTTCCATTTTCCAAAATAAAATGTTCTACGACTTTTTTACTGTGTTATGTTATTCCGTTATTTCATTTTCTTAGATTCAATTTGTAGGAAGGGAGAAAACGCGGAAAATTATGTTTCCCTACAAAATTTTAACCTTTCAACCCACTGGCCACTCGAAATTCTTATTCCTGTATCGTTTCTATCATATTCTATCATAGAATTCGTTTAGTTTAGTAGACAGCACAGCCGACATCGCGGCAGAACATCTTTCCGGAAAATGGAAAATTAATTTTCCATGTGTTAGCCAAGTTGCCCAGCCCCAACTATATAAAATTAGTACCAAATGTACAGTTTCAAATTTAATATTAAATAAAACATATTTTGTTTTGTGACGTTATCAATTTCTGGTCATTTAATAAGATTTTTTTTATTACTTCACTCTACTTGATTTGATAGTAACACAAAATTCAATTTGCACATGTAAAGTGTTTGTTTAATCGGTGAAACATTTTTGTGCGACATTTTGAAATTAAAATTACATTCGTATGGATTTTATTATCTTGAAGTTAACACTGGTTTGCTATTTTTTATAAAAGTAAGGGCAAGAATTTGAATGTTTTATAAGTATGTATTGTTTTCTAGATGGTATCCTATATCCTAAAGGAACGATTGCGATAATTTTTGCATACGGAATGGCAAGGGATGAAAAAATCTTTTCAGAACCGGAGAAGTTCGATCCAGATCGATTTTTAAATTATAACACTACTAATCAATATCCTTACGCATATTTACCATTCAGTGCAGGACCGAGGAATTGCATAGGTAGCTATAATAATTTGAAGTCTTTATATCGGATGATCAATAACTAGATAAAATTAGATTAATTGTGATGTGTAGCACGTCAAAAGATTGGTGATTTTTAGTTAAATACCCCCGAGTAAACGACAACGTCCTAAATATTAAAGGTATTCCTAAGGTACAATTTCATCCTTTAGTTAAACGTTTTAATTGTCAGTTAGTTCTTGAAAGTTGGATCTTGGGTGGAGACAGCCCCCAAATTATCATAACGATTCTAACGGACATTGATCGGCAACCTTTTTAATAAAGGCGCGAAGGGTAATAAATCATATCTAAGTGACAATAGGAGTTCCGGAATCCTCGAGCAGAATGAAGACTGTTACGGGGAATTCCATAACAATATAAATAGACCTCTAGATCAGAGCCGGGCAAACTGGGCTCTTTTGACTCCCGAGTGCTCCTCAGGTACAGCCAAGGAGCTCCTCATTGCTCCTGCGAGTGCGAGTGAGATGATTCTTTCCTTTTCTTATCCCTTCCATTTCGTAGGTGAGTCCCCTCTTCCATAGTCTAACCCTATAGTATTGTGACCGTAGTTAGGCATGCTACCCCTGAGCTGCGGGACGATCATTGCAAAATTTTCGTAGGTATTATTTAAGTTGCGAGAGGGGCTTCGCTCGTCTACGGGATGGAGGGGCTTGATATGGAAGTGGAAGGGAGAAGAAAAAGGGAAATATGGGTCATTACTGTTTACTCTCTCGTACTCATTGAAGGATATGGAGTGACCCAAATTAACCTCAGGTAGCGGTTCCAACAAAGTTAAAGTTTGCACGGATCTGTTCTAGATGTCAGCCGGAATTAGTTGGCAAATTTTGATATAGTGCTGGAATTAGTCGCAAGAATACCGACGCTTTATCCCGAAGATCATGTTCTGAAAATTGAACGTCGAAAAGCACGAGGAAGTTACAAGCACAACTTCAGGGATGAGCAATAGCACCCTGACAACATCAACGAAGAACAAAACTCTGTCTCTGCCGTAAAACTGCCTTGAGAATGAAAAAAGAAGGAAGACGACCGATCTAAACCAATTCGGCGTACTAATAGATCTCCATTCGAGTGAGGGATGAAATTTCAACTCCACCTGGACATTTGAAAGATATGGGGAATTTAAAAAACCTGGACTACACCTTGCATTCTTAATCCGATGCAACGGGGAAGCGAATGAACAGGGCCATTAACAAGTACTTGTTCAAGATTGTCTCTAAACATCAAAGAAACTGGGATTATTATCTGTCATTTCTTATGAAAGTACTGGCGACTGCCATGCGACTTGAAGTTTAGGTAGTAGTAGTAATCTGAAGATTACGTTAGTGAACTCTGAATGCAGCTTAACTATATCCATGATGAAGTACGTTCCCACATGCAAATAGCTACTGACAGATTGCCTCATATGACATTAGGGTGACTGATGGAGAATTCCAAGAAGGAGATCAGGTTGTAGCTGTACAATCTACTAGAGAGCTCTATAACTAAAGCCACAACATAATTGCGAAGGTCCGAATAAAATAATCAAGCGAATAATTGACGTCGTCTATTTGATTAGGCGTGCACCGAATGGGAAACTAAAAGTCGTCCATTTTAACCGATTGAGTTCATACGCTAACAACCACGAAGATGCTCAGAGTAGATGAGTACAAGCTGGATCTTCGGATCCCCAGTACCTATGAAGAAATGAGGCTAGATTTGGAGTCATAGAGTTACATCTGAAACGCCCCAAGACTTATTTGCTGAATACCCGCTAGCTAATTTGGTGGCCGCAGATTTGAGTATGAGCCGCGGAATGACTGTAGTATTCAGAAAGAAATTTGGTCTGATATCGGATCTGGAAGATCAACTCAGAGATAGAAGAAAGGTATTAAATTTACTGGTTGAAACCGATTTATATGTTACCTTGTCACCAAAGAAGAATTGTCTGGGAAACTCGATTCTTTAGTGGAGTTAAGGGACCGGATGCTGAGCACTAATCTAACCATGTGAAAAGTAACATGTGGTTTGGATGGGTTGAACTAGTGTGTGGTACGAAGCATGTTCTCTTCCGCTACACTGGGATAGAACTTATGTACCCACCGACAATCCACAATGAGAAACCCATCTAATTGAAAACGGAAGATTGCTATTTCCATCTAACGACCGGATACCAAAAGGGCAGGAGCTGAAGGTATCGACAAGGTTCTTGGAAGAAAGGGCAGAACATGATCCGGGAAAGGGCAGTGTTATGTACAAGCATCTACATGATAATCAGTACTTTGATTATCGACGGCTCTTGAGTATGTCCGCAGGGAGAGATTGGCTATGGGTAGGTCGGCAGTGTTTATATTTGCTTGCTTAACAATAGGATTTCCGGAATTCTTGAGAAGAATGAAGACTATTCTGAAGAATTTTATAACAATATAAACAGACCTACATCCGGAGTTAGTTGGTAAATGTGCGAATTAGCGAATCCGAGAGATATAAACATAGTGAAGAGTAAATTAGAAGTAGCTTAGGTATCTAGTTAGTGCTACTGTCCTGAAATATAAATAGCCATACTTGGTATCAAATGTGGAGTTGAAGTCAACAGGAAGAGAATTCTATTAAAAAAAAATTAAGGAATAAATTAACCAATTTGAAGACACCAGATTCAAGTATCTTTATGGGAAGAATTGTTTGCTCCGGAATGGATCTGCCTCTAAAATGGTTACTAAATTTCAAGAGTCCTGTGGGTCAGTAGCACGTTGGATAGAAAAGCTTCAAAAATATTTTTGATATAGAACATCGAACTGGAAATAGCCACAAGAATGCCGATGCTTTATCCCGAAGACCACGCTTTAAAAATTGAACTTTGAGGAGCACGAGGAAGTTAGAACGATAACTGTCACGGATTAGCATCAAGAAAAAACAAGACACTTACTAGGTTCTATGAACGCTTCAACAATGAAAAGGAAGGAAGGAAAACGACCCTTCCTAGCAAGAAGTGACTGCTAAATCTACCGAAGTGAAATCGTTATGGGTTGATCCAACCGGACGGCCACCACTATAACGGAAGAGGTCGTCAAATAAGTCGACCAATAGAGCTCCATTCGGGAAGGCTGAAACTTTGAAGTCACCATATTCCTGGACATTTATATTGGAAATTCACAAAACTCGGACTACATTTCTGCAACCTCAATCCGATAGAATGGTGGAGCGAATAAACAAGACTATTAACAAGCACTTGACCAAGATGCTCTATAAACATCAAAGAGACTTACGAGTATATCTGTTATTATTTATTGTGACGTATTGATAGTCAATCGATGAAATTACTGGGAAGAAACCAGTCAGGAGCCGGGACTATAATGCGACTTGAAGTTTAGTTGTAAGCATGGTGAGGATGTTGCTAGAGATGATTAGGTTAGTGTGAACGCGTCTTGATGACATCCGTGAAGGAGTATGTTCTTACATACTCGCGATAGTATGAAGAACACATATGACATGAGGGTAACTGATCGAGAATTCCAAGAGGGATACCTGTTGTGACTATACAATCCGCGGTACAATACATACAATTTTGGATTTTATCGATAAAATCTACTGATCTTAATTAAATTTTAACGAAGAAGAAAAATGAAAAAGTTTCTACAGTATTTTAGAACACCTAAAAACGTCATTTTTTTTAATATTTTCCGAATGCTTGTGAGGATGATTCCAGGGTTCAGAATTCATTTTCTGTGACAGCTAATTCAATTGGTTCAATTGGTGTCACTCATTTGACACTAAAATACAAATATCAGCCATTAAATAATTTCTGGGAGTTTGTCAAAAGAGCACGTTTGTTTTTGAAAGCAAACCTGTATTGTTTATACAACTTTCCAGTATTGTGTCTGACATCAAGAAGATACGTGTTTTTTTTTGGCTCATTAAATCATGAGTCATTCATTATTAAGTAATTAATTTTTATATTTATATTACAGTTTTAGGTGTACCTATTTAAAACTAGTTACTAAATAAATGATGTATTTTAAAAACTTCTTTAATTTTTACTAGCAGAAACTAGCCAACACAAAAAACTCCGCTATTTACTGAGTTTATGAACTGTTCCATTACAGAAAGTTTGGTAACCCCTGCCCTAGCACATTCAAAATTGGACATTTTAATCTGAAAATTTAGAAAGCCAAATAAATATTATTCGAATTTTGAGATTAATCAAAATCTTAAAGTGCATCAAGGACAGTTCTAGGGCCAAGATAGAATTAGGCTACTAGAGATATAACGGAGGTGACTACTCTCCTATTAGCTTGTCAATTTACCTACTTTCTGTAATAGTGATCTCAAACTGCCAAAACTTGCATTTTTTGGATTTTGAGAATAAAATATCTTGCATTAATGCAATTCTGAAGCCGACTCGAACTCATCGTCGCAAGTTTTGTTAGAAATATTAATATGATGGGTAAAGAGTCAGACTTAACCTCGCAAAATCGGAACTAAAACCGTATTGCTTCTTTACTTTCAAATCTCTGATTGGTATAGGTCTATGTAACTTATTATGTTAAAATTTTATATTGTTAAGTAAAACAGTCATACCCTTTAGGATTTAGTATTATCTTTACTTAACTGCCGTAATATACGCACCGGCTTTTAGTGGAAAATAACATACGAGGTAAAACAGAATAACAAATCAAGCCTCTATTATTATAGTACAATAATCGTAAGAGCTGGCAGATAATATCAATTAAAAATACACCTACTTGAACCAACAGAATATTCTCTCATGCTTCTGTTCACTTCTATAACAAAATGGAACCACACACTCTTAGTTTCTGTTCACAAAATGGAGTTTCCGCAAAAAGAGTATTTATTGACGACGATTATATCAAAAGAAACACGACACTTTTCACAATCAGAATTCTCTTTCTGTAGCTATAACCTACAAATAAATTTAACGGTTGCACACTTCAACGGTTTGAATAATACCTAAAATGGAGCTAGGGATATAAGTTACTGTTCCACCTGCAGCATTTTCCGAAATGGCGCATGTGCGGTAAAGAATCCTACAATTAATTATAAATACTTATGTAATTGTAATAATAAACTAATTAATAAATGACATGGAAACCAAGATCCTAATAGATATACACATATAATGTAATATTTAGGATACTTTTGTGTTTGTATAATAAGACGCTTATTTTCTAAAAATTGATGAGAGTACCTATACTAGGCAACCCATTTTACTCATTTAATATTAACTTCGCATAAATAGTTACGAGACCAGAATCATATCATCTAATTTGAAATCGTCTGAAATATGTAGAAACAAAATAAAATTTTGCGTCTTATCGAATGTTCATTTAGTAACTTTACATTGATTTTTTTTAATTGTCCTCAATTATACAAAAAGAAAACAAACAAAGCAATGGATACCTATTTCTTAAATAAGCCTTCATATCTATTTTCCAACTTATCACTGTTGTCTTATACCTTTTGTTATTTAATGTTAAAACTGCCATTACGGTTTTAAAGTTTTAAAATTAGGTACTTAGACATAATGGAGTTTTTTCTTTTTTCTTTTGTTCATTCCACTTCTACACATTATCATAAAACAATTGCTGAAATTAAACGGGATGACTCTCGACTCTTATATTCCTGCAATTGAATAAATGTTTTAAAATCTATTCTATTTTCCAGGACAGAAATATGCAATGTTGGAAATTAAATTTACACTGGCTAAGTTTCTTTTAAACTACGAAGTTTTGCCAGCAATTCCAGAGCAACAACCAATATTGGTGACTGAGGCAACTCTGAAGTCAGCCAACGGCGTAAATATTAGGATAAAACGACGAAATTTCATGACATGAAAATAAGAAATGATATCTGTGCTTATAAGAATATGAAGAAGAGAGAACTTTTATCAATATATATTCTTGTAGTGTTTACCTTAGGCAGGATCGGACTGACTAGTGTTGATCCCGGTGGCTATAGAAGTTTGACACACAAAATTTAAAAAGAAATAGTACTCAATTTAGATAGGTACGTACAGATACATCTAATTCAATTCAATTTAATTCTTTCACAAAGATTAAATATTAAAAATTAATAAATTAATAGGGCAAAAAATTTCTATTTCAGTAGTTTCCACAATACTTGATAGCAGCGATATCATTAGTTATACGTCTCTTCCTTCTTCATTGTGTTTTTTAATTAGGTTATTATTTATAGTTAATCGTTTTTCAATGTTTTTGCTTTGGCCCTTAATTTTAGTTTTGACCTCTATTTTGGTTTGACCTCTATTGTCACCTGGCCGCAGTGGCGATCGCCATCCGGTCATGCAAAGCAATCCGACCCTGACTGGACCAGATAATACCGTCAAATGTGTTAAGTCTACGTGTTTTTCATTCACTTTGTGTGTTGATTAAGTGTAAACTAGCATAAGAATTGAATGGAACTTGTATTGTAAAAATAAAGTCTTAAACAATTTTATGAGTTTCTTTTATCTTGATTCGGGGAAGGTTTATGATGAATTCGTTTATCAGCGAAAAATGATTTTATGATTAAATATCGAAGCGTTCGAAGTAAGTTGACCTCAAGAGTATCCCTTTATGTTAGGTATTACTAATTTTCAACGTACTTTTGTGGTAATTCAAGTTTTTTGAATAAAAAGAAACAATGTGGTAAAGTGATAGGTACAATATTGTTTGGATAAAAATATAATGTTGTATTTGTTAATTATTTATACATATATATTGTTTACCTATAAATAAGGGTCTATCATATTCGAAAAACGCGCATGTAAATACCAATAGAGTTTCTGGAAAACGTAAGTATCAGTAATTACAAAATATTAGTTATGAGAAGTTCTTTGTTAATTACGGTAGTTTAGTGATATTGAAAACATTTTTCGATTTTAAACATGTAAATATAAGACTCGATTCTGACTAATTCGCACATGCTGAATTCGAGTACCTACGACATCCATTTTGTTCATCATCATCATAAGGTTATCAGTCCTAAGACTGGTTGGACACGCAACTCCACTCTTTCCTATTCTGCGCTAATCTTCGCATTTCCCTAAAGCTAGAGCAACCCATATCTTTAACTATTTGCGAACAGTAATCTAATCTGGGACTACCTCTACCCCTCCTAATTTTGTTATAATTTCAATATTGTTCATTAAATAGAATGAATCCTTTCAATTTTTTATCACAACCTTTTTATTTTAAGTGCTATTGGAAAAATTTCCCGCATATTCTTATGGTAAAATTTATTAGAAATCAACCTCCTAATCATTAAAATTTGTCAAGAATTAGCCGTTATCGCCAAATCAGTATTGGTCTTTAACTTTCATGCTTCCTGGTGGGATCGAAAGAGCTCGATTGAAACACCAAGTACATACTCCACCAATTTCTGCAATAATTTCGAAGGACAAACTTGCATTAGATTAACTTCTCTTCTTTGTTTTTTAGATGATTGCTAGGTATTATCCGAACGACTTAGGATAAAGTTGGACAGCAAGGTGTGCTTTTATGATTTAGATTCTAGTGGTACGGTACGTCTGCCCCGAAGTCACGTATAATTTTAATGATGGTACTACTCCGACCCGGCCCTTTATCAGTTAATAATTTGGATGGTACTATTTCACCCCATCAAGTGTATACAACAGTATCTCATGTAAAACATTAAATAGAACATGGTCTATGTATATGTTTTATGAAGTCCTACAAACGGCAACGTAAACGCCATCTATAGCACAAAACCAAAATTTTAGTGGAATTTAATATGTTCAACAAGGTCCATTTAGGTAGATGGACATCTACTTCCTGAACTGAGAAACAATATGTTGATTTTGATTTTAAATTTGAACTGCATACAGGAAAACAAGTGTCGATTAGTAAAAAAATTATAAGGGGTTGTTTATTACAGAACCTATTTTGATAAAAGATAACAATTTCGACAAACTACATCATTCATTAAGTAAGTTTCACAATAAGCGGTTTGTTTTCAAGTGTTAGTTATAAGGTGAAGATTATGTCAAATGAAAAAATAAAATGATTTTTTTTAAAATGCGCAATAGGATTAAGATACTCGTGCATACAAAAGGAATGTAGTGCGTCATTAATTAGCGACGAGTAATCACAATCACAATGTGTAGATAAATTTAAAAATAAAAATATTGAACCATATTTATCTATAAATAAATGTAGTGATCATTTTAGTTGACACTGAATAAATTTGCCTACTTGAAGTTTGTTTTAGTGATGGGCCAAACTGGTCTTGGTGTCACGAAAATGCAAAACAAAGACCAAGAACGAACGAACAAGACCGTGACTAAAACCAAGACCGAATATGCAAGACTAAAAAAACATATTCTTCTCTTGGAACAAAACACTTTTAGTATTTGAAATTTTCAGTTTGTTTTACTAGAATTTAATATCAAATAAATATTAAAAAAAAAAAAAACTTTACTATTGCTTGAAAAAAAAGATCTACAAGAATATATTGTTCCTATGTCTGAATAACACATGGTTGAAATATAGAGACAAATTAACTATTTTTTGATATCTCTTATTTCTTTCATGTGGTGTTATAGGCGGATGATGAAGAGGTATTAGAAAGAATAGGAGAACAGAGGACACTATGGAAGTCAATAAAAAATAGGCAGGATAGGTTGGTAGGACACATTCTTAGGCATGAAGGTCTAGTCAGAGACATATTAGAGGCAGAAACAGGAGTTAGGAGGGGTAGAGGTAGACCTAGATTAGATTACTCTTCGCAAATAGTTAAGGATGTGGGTTGTTCTAGTTTTAGGGAAATGCGAAGTTTAGCTCAGGAGGTACGTGTCCAACCAGTCTTAGGACTGATGACCTTATGATGATGATGATGACCTTGTACTATTTTCTTAACTAAAAGGTCAATTTATGCGTTGGAGGAAGGGAAAGTTCTTGAGCTTTCATAACTCTCACAACTATTAACACTATTTTTTATAAGTCATGAACAGCTCGGCATTATGACATACAATTTCAACATTTTAGGCAATTATTGTGTCGGTAAATAGAAAAATTTGTGCTTAAAAGAATTATTATAAAAAACAATCAGATTAAATGAGCAAGACCAGGGTCAAGACCAAGAAGTATTTGAGCAAGACCAAAACCAATACTAAGACTGGGACGGTCGTGGCCTTAGTGTTGCCTTGTTCATCACTATTTTGTTGAGTGAATATTTTAAAATTCTACTAATATAAATGCTGAACATATTTTTGATCTAATACTTATGAATGGGGTTGTTGTATTAAGGTTTTTAGGTTGTACTTTTTTTTTTGGGCATTTTCGGAGGTTCCTTACGACGACGTCTAGTACACCCCCCTAGTGCCACCACTGGGGATATTTTAGAAATCAAAGAATGTTTTATTTGATTGCTTGGAATCATGAGATTAGGATAGGAAAAGACAGCACGTACGGAATGAGTTCTTCCTTGGCGTGGATTTTTTTTTAAATACGGACGATCGAACGGAATTTACATATGGACGGAATTTATATACCTCTAGGAGGTCATTAGAATGTGTTTTAATTCCAATGTGCGTTTACTACTGGACCTATTAATAAACACGGAATTCGCATTGAAACTACTCATGGCATTACAAAATTTTCCTAAATGTTAGTAAACTGCTTTTGAAACCAGCGCTACTTTCAGAAACGCCTAGGTGGAATTGACAGTAATTCGCATTAACTGTAACGTACATGAGAAAATTAACTTTGCTTTTATGTCACTTCTCTAATAGTGTGTTAATTTTGTATAGTGCATTATTCAAAGCTAATATAATGCTACCTATTTATTCTAAAAATCTCACACCTTTTCGTTATTTGTATGGGAAATAGGAAATATTTCAACTGGAAAATATTTGCATCAAATGATAATATGTAAGGAACAATGTAGATACATGAATACGTCTGAAGGAATTTTTGCTTTTGAAATTTTATTTTTTTTGTCAAAAGGAACTAAAACAATAATTTATTTTATTATTGTATTATGATTATCTACTGTAGTCCAATCCTGAAAGTTGTATTTACACACAGTTGTTAAAATCAAAGCAATATTGAGGTTAAAAGTACATTATTTATTTAAAAAACCACAGCCGTCGTTTCGCCCAGGTTGTTGGACTTTCTCAAGACTAGATTTATTTAGTTAAACATTGGGTTTGGTTAAGTGTTACTAACATTAACAACCATTAACAAATATTACTCCAAACTTCATATAAATTAAAAACATAACTAACATTAAAATTATTATAACACGTCTTACGATTCAAATAATAAATAAATAAATGTTAATAATTTGGATGGTACTATTTCACCCCATCAAGTGTATACAACAGTATCTCATGTAAAACATTAAATAGAACATGGTCTATGTATNAATAAATAAAGTACTCTTAACCCCAATATTGCTTTGATTTAAACAATTGAATACAAAATAGGGGATCAATATAATGTATTTAAATACTTTTAAAATATAGTACAGTTTATTTTGTGAAATTGTTATCCATAATAAAAAAAGACTATAGTAAATCATTACTATTTATTTACTTGTAAGGGTGATATTTTATTAGGGAAGATATAACTAGGGGGGAAGAGCACCTTTGCCGTCTGTTTGGATATATGGAATTAATGTCGTTATAGCGGTTTTAACATCGCTCGGTACAAAATCTTGAGCTAAGAAATAATTGAATAAAAATTGAATAAACTGGGCTCTCGTGGATGCTTCGTTCCATTCATTGAAATTTTCCATTTCCTTCCCGTGCATGTTGGCAATGTATTTGTAAATCTTCTTGAATGCTAATTTCGCTGAAGACGGTAAAGAACCCAGTTGCAGTGTGTCAGTGAAGATTCCGGTTAAGTCGAATCTTTTCTCAATTTTTTTCATACCGATCAACGTTAGACTCTCGAGCTTTTCGAGGTATTCTAAATAATATTTGGCAGCTTCCTTGACTTGCACGGAAGAATATTTGATTTGTAATATTTTTAAAACCTCAATGAGCTGTTTCTTCTGATCTGATATATTTTCTATACCCTGTTGCTTAAGAAGTAAGTAAACCTCTTCGGATTTCAATGCAGTGCTTAACAATGTAATATACTGTTCTTCGATCGTATCTGCTGGATTCGGTAATATCTCTAGCAGCAGTGCATAATCAAAGCGAATTTCTGGAGTAGGTGTGACTGGTGCATACCTGCCAAGAACATAATCCGTGTACCTTAAGATTTCTTCCTTCGTTTCAACTGAAATTGTGGTCGTTTGTTTTACTATTGAATAAAATCGTAACAACAACTGTTGATTACTAGTGGTATCTAATGTAAGTGATTTCAGAATTTCAACATTTGCTGAACTTTCAATGAACGATTTCGTTACATTATATGCATGCTCCATCTCAGATACAAATGGAATTGTTAAAGCTTTTATCAAAGCTTCTTTAACGACTGTTACACTTGTTTGTTTTGTTGTCTTTATTGAATAGGTCATTTCAGGCATACAATTACAGTTAACAGGCTTTTCAACTTGAACAATTCTGTTCACACATGGTGACCTTTCTATAGGTGATTGTTGAAGTAATTTTAATAATACTACAGCTGAAGTAAGTTCGTTTATATTCGCTCGCAACTCACATTTTGGGGGTAAAGTTTCGGCGAGAAGGATAAGACCCATAATTGCTAAGTCTGTCTCTTGTAGATGAGAGTACCTTTGTAAGTAGTCCAGAATTTCTCGAACTCTTAGAAAATTTAATCGGATTAACCTCATCACGTAACTCTGAACGTCTACCAACCCCGGAGGAAGATTATAAGATTGCAATGATCGTAATAAATACGAAAATCCATCGAAAGGTGACCTTCTTGTTAGGACGTATAGGACTTGACTAAATGTAGGTCCGGAGTATATTCCTTGAGATTTATTACTTAACGTTAATGTTGCAGATTTTATTTCTTTCGGAGCCTCTGAAGTTGAAAAAGAAAATTGTGAATTTGAAGGAAATGCTTGTTGTGCAGTCGTCGAAGTTTTCCCATCTACAACACTGGTTAAATGAGACACATCATAGGAATTTGGCCCCATCGTTTGGGATATGTCAGTATTATCTAATATTGTTTCGTAAGGTTTGGTGATCATAATTTGTGGCAGATTATCGCTATGGTCTAATGTAACGGAAGTTAATCCGCTACTGGTAAAGGATGGATCTTCTACATTTGTCTCGAGTATACTTTCTGCCGATACCTAAAACAATAAATATTTTATACGTTACAAATTTATAGTCTTACTTAAATATATTAATTAATTACGAGGTACAGCAATTGAACAACGATCTTTTTTTAAAACAGTATCAATTAACTTTCATGTTTTTGCTACTGCTTTGCTCCAAAGTTATTCATCTGCTAAACCCTATTTTCAATGTCTTTTTTTTAAATATTTTAAATTCTGTATCTTTCTATGTACTCATGTATGTTGATAGTACCTATGCCCGTCCATGTACAAGTAAATGTTTAAAAACACTCATCATCATCATAAGGTCGTCAGTCCTAAGACTGGTTGGACACGTACCTCCACTCTTTCCTATCCTGAGCTAAACTTCGCATAATCCTAAAACTAGAACAGCCCGCATCCTTAACTATTTGCGAAGAGTAATCTAATCTAGGTCTACCTCTACCCCTCCTAACTCCTGTTTCTGCCTCTAATATGTCTCTGACTAGACCTTCATGCCTGAGAAGGTGTCCTACCAACCTATCTCGCCTAT